GGGTGCCATTTTGAGTTCCAAAATGGCGCCCTGCGTTGTGCGGCGGCAGCGGCAGCAGGACCAGCCGCAGGCCGGTTCAAAGGCCTCGACGGGCTGGGTTCGGCCCACAGGCCGTAGTTTGGGGACCCCTGCAGTACAGCATACTAGCTCTCATATATATGTTATGCAGTGTGTGTGTGTGTGTGTGTGTGTGTCTATATATATATATATATATATATATATATATATATATATATATATATATATATATATATGGAGAGAGAGAGAGAGAAAGAGTTGTTGTGTGGCTTCAAGTCTTGCATACTTAATGGAGACCCTAAGACAAACCTATCACAAGGTTTTCTTGGCAAATTTATTCAGAGAAGGTTTGGCATTGCCATCCTGTGTAGCTGAGAGAGTGTGGTTTCATAGCTCAGCAGGGATTTGAACCCTGGTCTCCAGAGTCACACACACACACATATATACAGAGACAGAGAGAGAGAGAATAATACATATAATGTGAGTAATATATTTGACATATGATTTGCAGCCTCTGAGAGGTAATGCTTATCTGTTGATTTACATCAGACGAAACCTCCCAGTTGTATTTGAATAAAAGCAACAACCACACAAATCGGTGTGTTGTCATTTATTCATTAAGTTCATGTTAGGATACATTATCTCTAAAGCGCTGTTAGGATGAGAGTAGCACAGAATATTTCCTCCCCATGGGAGCAACTCTGAATAAAGTCACATGGTTGCTATCAATTTGGGGGAAACCATAGTTTAAATGACTGTTCTTGTCACCCCTCCATGGACTTGTTGAAACTAAAGGGGCTTTGTTTGCCAGAGATCTCTGGACTCAGCCTCTGATAGCATTCTCAGACCAATATGGATCTTTATGACCAGACAAATGGCCCAAATCCAAGGTGGCTGGGTCAAATGAGACAGTTGGCATGTTCTCTTTAAGGCGGGATTTAACCAACTTTTACTACTGGAGTATGACTTTTTTCACTGGGCACAAATATCCCTTAAGAATCAAATTCTATGCAATGCCATTTCATTAGGAGCTAGATTATTATTATTTTTAAAAACCTTATTACTGTTTTAGGTACAGACTAAAGCCTCCTGCATGTGTCTGAGGCGCTGATATTAAACTGCCGGAACTCAGTTCATGAATTCAGTGTGAGTTCATATGGACAACAAAGGGAAAACCATGCAGGTACCAATAATAATAATAATAATAATAATAATAATAATAATAATAATAATAATAATAAATGGTCCCTCCACATTCGCTGGGGTTAGGGGTGAAGGACCCCCATGAATGTGGAGAAATAGCAAACTAAATCAGCAAACAGCAAACTGGGGTAGGGGATTCTTTAGAAATCTGGTTTTTATTGAATATTGTATGTTATTGTATATTGTATTGTATTTTATTGTTATTCCTATTTGTTGTAACCTACCTCGATCTAAATAAAATTATTATTATTATTATTATTATTACATCACTCTAGGAATCTCCAGGTCCTCCAGTGGAACTCTGTGGTCAACATTTGCGAGAAGTTGACATAGACTCATGCTGGAAGACCTACAAATGTCTAGAGAAGTGTTTTCTCTAGGAATTTCTAGGTCCTCCAGGGCAATTCTGTCGCCAACTTCTGGCAGAGTTGCGCTGGAGGACCTAGAGATTTCTAGAGAGAACATATTAATCAAAACTGCAAATAATCAAATCCGCAAAAGTCAGAGCCACAAAGGTGGCCAACTGTAATAATAATAGTAATAGAAAATAATAGGAAAAAATGAACAAAAAGTAACGAGAACGTACAGAGAGTAACTACCAGTAATATAATGAACTGAAATTGCATTAACCAGAGAATAGCATGAAAGTAACTAACAGTTATGTACTCATATACAGAAAGTAACAAACAGTATTATGCAAAATTAACTGACAAACAGTGCTTACTGTACCAAAACGAGCCTAAATTGTCAAAGTACTAAATGGAAGTCCAGGAAAAGAATTGTCTCGATCACACCAACTTTATCCTGGATTAAACAATATTTTATTTCTTCAGGTGTCAAGCTGTATAGTGGAATAATAAACAAACCAACTTCACAGAGAATATATAGTATCTCAACAACTTCAAGTCTTGTATCCTGGAGTAGACACTACTTTACTTGCTCGCTTCCACTTTGAGACTCTCCTGTGTTTCTTTGGGGTCAGTTCATATGGATAATCATTACCAAGTGGTAACACATTGTGGTGTACAAATAATCCCATTTATTTCCTCAAGGCTCTATTAGCTGCTCACTAGAGGTGGGGGGGGGGATCATCACCACATTTCCGGATCAGAAGGGACGTGCTAAGATTTGTTTCACTATTTGGCAAGACAGTACAGCTAACCAGCTTTGCAAGTGGTTACATGCACATGAGGGTAGGTGCATGAATTGTTTGTATATACAACTTGTAAATGAAACTAAAAAGAAAATTGTTTCGGACGTACATCTCCATGAATTTACATTGAGTGCAAAATCTTAGTTCATCAGACAAACCTTTCCAATAGCATTTCAAGAAAAAAGTGTTGAAGATACACAGTGGGCCCTTAGCATCTGCTGGAGGTTGGCTCCAGGACCTCCGTGGATGTCAACATCCGTGGATGCTCAAGTCCCATTATATACAGTGACATAGTAAAATGGTGTCCCATATATAAAATAACAAAATCAAGGATTGCTATTTGGAATGTATGTATATATTTAAATATTTTCAAGCTGTGGATAGTTGAATCTGTAGATAAAGAATCTGGGGATATGGAGGGCCGACTGTACAGGCTTTTCTTCCTCAGTGGTTCAATACTGGAAAATGCAAGTGGAATCTGCAACAAGGAGTTTATCACCATGTCCTACTAGTAGTGCTCCGAATTAGGGCTCCAGTCATCCAGCATGCTGTGTCCTCTTCCAGGGTACTCCATTATATTCTGTGTCCTCCTATTTTTCTGGTTTTGTTTCCCAGGTGACATTCAGTGTTCTGTGACAGTTTAACATGGGACCTTATCACACGGGGTCTAAAGCAGACAGAACCCCATCCCATCCCCATCCCATTGTGGTTCCTTTTCCCGTGTGTTCACACGACGTCGCAGAGAACCCCGTCCCATCCCCGTCCCAATGCGGCATCATCCCCGTTCTTTTGAATGCCGGTTTCCTGGGGAATTACATTTGCGCGACCAGAATGATACCAGAATGATGCTGCTTTCGTTCATTGCGCAATGATGCTAGTTGCGTCTGATAGCAATTTCCGTCTTGTGGGGTCTATACCGGTATAGTTCTGGATTGATTCCATACCGCTTTCTTGCTGCTTTGAGACCCGTGTGTGATAACGTCCATGGTCAGTCCCCATTGGGCTGTATCAGGATAGAAGTAGCCCCTTAATCTTGTTTTTATTTTTCCTTGTACTGTTGCATAGCTTGTGCTTCTGATAATATAGTATTCTCCCACTTTGGCTTAACATCTACCAGAACTCACTGGCTTTGGTATTAGAGGTAGTGACAAGGCACAACACACTGAGTACTAGTTTTCCTGCACAGTCCTATGTAAGTATGCAGAGGTCTGGTTAAGTTTTGGTGGGGGTTGCAAAGGAGAATATCCCGATAGAGTACATCCACTTAGTACAGCCTGCATTAAATACGCTGTAGTCAGAAACATCACTACAAACTTGATCTAAGTGCTTCGTCCCTAAGTTTCATAGGTATAGATCAATCTTTCTGAGAGAACCACTCATGAGTCTTCAATTATTTGATAGAATGAATAAATCCTCAGGTCCCTCAAAAGGGGGCTAATACAGACAATAGGGTGATAGCCATTTTTCCAGCAAATCCATTAAAATCAATGGAATCTAAATTAGTCATGGCTGATTTGAAAGCCATTGATTTCAGTGGGTCCACTCTTTGTTGTTGTGTGTCTTCAAGTTGTTTCCGACTCATAGGCAACCTTATCATGGGGTTCTTGGCAACATTTGTTCAGAAAGGGTTTGCCATTGCCTTCCTTCACAGCAGAGAGTTGCCCAAGATCATCCAGTGGGTTTCTATGGCCAGACAGGGATTCAAATCCTAGTTTCCAGAGTCCTACTCCAACACTCAAACGACTACACCACACTGGAACATATGGGTCCACACTAAGCATTACTAAATCTATAGGATTTAACAATGCTAAATTCAGATTGCAGGCTGAGGCTGTGATTTTACCACTTAGGCTTACTACAGCCACTGATGTAAAGAGGACAGACAGTTTGGGTAGAAAGATTATTTATGGAATGCATGCTTTAAAAAAGATCTGAAGTTAAATCAACTTGGCTGCACCCTAATGCCACTGTTTAGTACAAAAAAGGTAGTGATGGACTAACTTTACTCACTACTCAGGGTTGACATTGCATTAACATTACTCATGATTGGCACAAGATCAAGGAAACTAAGCAAGGCAAGTTGAGTGAGAGCCAACAAAATCTTTATGTTGGACTAGTGTACGTTGCTTCTTTACAAATGGTGTGTATACATTGCCCAGCATACTTTAGATTTTTTTTTCATTTTCTGTGGTAATCTTGATTTCTGGCAGCAGTTATATTGAAGCGAATGATAACTCTTAAAACCTTAAATGGTTTGAAATAGATTTAATTAAAATATTTTTCTTGGTATGTCCTATATTTACTAGCTAGAACTGGAAGAATATACCATTTTATTAGAATATGGAATTGTAACCTCTGTCATTTGTACTGAGACAGGACTCTGCATTCACATATTTCTGAGAGGATGTATTTACAACAGATATCCAATAGCTGTAGTTTTCAAGATTGCTGTGTTAAAGGCACCTTTGGGACAATGAATATATAACAAACCCAACTACATGTTAAACAAAGGAGTTCTATAGCCTAGACTAGAGGGAAAGCTGAAAAAACTATCCACCTTGTAATGCATGTCTATCAGCAAATAAGTCCCACTGCATTCAACTGGACTTACTCCCAGGTATAGAGAGACAGTGTGGTGTAGTGGTTTGAGCGCTGGACTACAACTCTGTAGATCAGGGATTGATTCCCTGCTCAGCCATGGAAACCCACAGAGTTGCCATAAATTGCAAATGACTTGTAGGCACACAACAAAAATAATTACAAAGTATGCATAAGACTGGCATCGAATCTTATGTTGGTTTACTTAGAAGTAAATACTCATTTTAGTGGGACCTATTCCAAGAGTATCTGCTGCAAAATTTTGGGCAGGACTTAGTTTGCATGGGAGTTTCGTACAATGATCACGTAGTTACTGCATTCTTTTGTGTCTCCCTTTTTAAAATGGGAATGTCTATTGATTGTTTGCCTTAGGGTCACCATAAGTCAGAAGTTACTCAAAGGCACACGTAACAACAACAGACTAGCAGGTGGATTTATTTGTCTCTACCAATGTTTATTTTGAATGAAAACTGTTATCAAGAGGTACAATCCTGAATGAAGTGCATATGCAAGTTCATACTTAAGCTGTTACCCTTTCATAGTTCTTCTGCTCAAAATGCTATGAAGAAAAAATGTGATGCTGACTGGAAATCACAGTTGGTGGGGTAAAAATTAAGGCCTCCCATGTTCTTCTTTTGTTAAGACTTTGTTCCTCCCAAGGTGGCTGTTCATGTTAAAAATACAGTGAAAGATGACATGCATTTATGTGTAACATCTAGTTTGAGTTGGTAGACCAATATACAGATTCATATATAGCCACACCTAAGATTTGTGTTCTCTGTTGCTAATTGCTGACAAGGCAACTTTGACATATGGCAACCCTATGCTTGAGAGACCTCAAAGTCACCCTATCACCAACAATCCTGCTCAGATCTTGCAGACTTATAGCCGTGGCTGCCCTTATTGAGTCTATCCATCTTTTAATCTTGTCTTCCTCTTTTCCTACTGATGTCTACCTTACCAAGCTATTGTCTTTTCTACTGAGTCATTAATAGGAGTGTATAGCGCTACTCTATTCTGCTTTGGTCAGACCTTGCCTGGAATACTGTGTCCAGTTCTGGGCATCACAATTCAAGAGTGATATAGACAAGTGGGAGTGGGTCCAGAGGAGAGTGGCCAAAATTCTGAAAGGTCTGGAAATCATACTCTATGAGGAGTGGCTTAGTCAGCTGGGTATGTTTAGTCTGGGGAAGAGAACACTAAGAGGTGACATGATAGCCAGTGTTTAAATATTTGAAGGGACATAATATTGAGGATAGAACAACCTTGTTTTCTGCTGCTCCAGAGATTAGGACATGGAGCAATGGATTCATTAGGAAGAACTTCCTGACAGTAAGAGCTGTTCGACAGTGGAATATGCTGCCATGTAGTGTAGTAGAGTCACCTTCTTTGGAGGTTTTTAAACAATGATTGGATGGAAATGCTTTGACTGTGTATTCCTGTATGGCAGAGGGTTGGGATGGATGGTGGTAGAATGGTGTCATTTGTATATCTTAAATTCTGGATGTTCCTTTCTCCAATTTTCATGCCTTCTTTGTCTGAGTCTAATCCTGCTTATGTATGATATGTTTAGTGTATAAGTTAAACAGGGTGAAAAAATTTCTTGCTTTATCCCTTTGCCATTTGGAAGCCATTCCATTTCTCTATATTTTGTCCTGACAGTAGGCTGTTGTCCCGAGTACATGTTATACATCTGGATAATCAAATGTTGTGGCATATCCATTTATTTAAAAGTGGTCCAAAGTTTTTCATGAACTAAACAGTCAAAGGCTTTGCTTTAATCTATAAAGCACAGTTTGATTTTGTGGTGAAATTCTTTAGTGTGCTCCAATCCAATGTATGTTTGCCATATGATCCCTAATGCCTCTTTCTTGGATATCTGGTATTTTTCACCCATATATGGTAAAATAATTTTGAACATCATTTTTCTTGCATGGGAGATGAATGCAATGGTCTTGTGGTTACTGCAATCCATAGTGTCCTTTCTTGGGAACTGGAATGTATATTGAGTATTTCTGATATGTGGCCCATTGTTTTGTTTTCCAAGGCTTGTGTTTACCATATGTTTTATTGGAATAAGGAAAAATGATCTATAATAGGATTTTGTTTTATCCAAATAGCAGCTGTTTTCAATTTTTCTAAGCTTCCAGGAAGTCAGAAGACAGATGGAGCAGTCAAAATGTACATTATTACTGTAATCTATCATGTAAATCTTCATTTTGAAAGTCTTGCTTATCACAATCTGAGGAACATTTTCTATTTTCTGTGGCAAACAAGTCAGGTTTCCCATATCCCATCAAAGACACAAGAAATAATGTAGTAAAATGCATGTTAGTTTTCAGATTGTAGGATTCATTGGGTACATATAGTCATTAGCACTCTACTACTTTAGTCCCATTTGTAAAGTTCACAATGAAAGAGTGATTTCCAATCTTTTTTGCTTGGATATAATCAACCATCATTTCTAGTAGCCAGCAAGACTTAAATTTCTCACTTCCTGCTCTACACAGATTTTCATTTTGTACACCCAAAATTATGTCTCTTATCTGCCTGGTCAGAAGATTTGCAGGAGAGGAGTGACAGGAAGAATCGATGGTTTAATCAAATGTGTTGCTGAACACTGGTTTGTCTGGATGGACCCTCAGTTGTGCAGTCTCTCCTTTCTTTTATGTCATTCAGTTTTCCTCCTCACTCCCTTCCTGATTTGTGAAAAAAACATGGTTTGTGCTTATGTCTTATTTTTTTAAAAAATTCCCTACAAAATTATGGTCCTAAACCAGGGTTACCTTTGAATCAAATCTGTACATATTTGTAGTATTCTTGTACTGTGAACCCATGATAACTAATGCTGCATAAAACATAGCATGGCACCATTTTGAAAGAGGAATTCGCTACCTTTCAGTCCTGTTTTTGTTGTTGTTGTTCACTGCCCTCCAGTCGATCTCGACACATGGCGACCCTATGGATGAGACATCTCCAAGACCTTCTGTCCTCCACTCCTCTGCTTAAATCCTGCAACCCCTTAATTCCTGTGACCTCCTTTAGAGTCCATCCATATAGCATGTGGCCTTCCTCTCTTCCTACTTCCCTCCACCTTCCCCAGCATTATTGCTTTTTCCAAAGAGTCCTCCCTTCTCATGATGTGTCCAAAGGACGACAGTCTCAGTTTGGTCATCTTGGTTTCCAGAGAGATTTCCGGCTTGATCTGCTCTAGGACCCACTTGTTTGTCCTTTTGGCTGTCCGTGGGATCCTTAGCACTCTTCTCCTGCACCACATCTCAAATGAATTGATTTTCTTCCATCATCTTTCTTAACTGTCCAGCTCTCACATCTCACATGGCTTGGACCTCTGGGATCTCTCTTTCCATGTATGGTTGGAGTCTGTGCTGCAGAATTTTGACGATGATTTAAAAGCCTGTTAATGGCTTTTAAATAATTTGTTATTCTAGTGGTGGAATGTGCTGATTGTCACAATTATATTTCTGCTTGCCAAGTATTGTTAGATTTCTGGAACCATGACTTCAAGATAACCTGAAGATTTGGACTAATTCAGTAAAAGGCTAGCAGTGTTCTAATATTGGCTCTGATTTGTTTGTCTACATCAGGAGTAGGAATCTTATGGTCCACCATATGTTTTTGGATTTCTCTGTGTTCATTATGTTGGCTAGGGTTGCTAGGATTTGCGGTCCAACAACATATGGAGAGCTGAATCGCCATCTTTGTTTTAGATCTAGTAAGATTTCATTATATTCAAACAAAAATCAATGCTTAGTTAGAAAAATAACCCCTGCAAGTATTTCAAATATTGAAATACTCTTAAGTGGATGGCTGAGCCTCGAGTACACATTATTCTACCACCACTGGGAGTCCTCATATAATATAAATATTTAATAAATATTTAATGCACATCACTGTGGGTAGCAATAGCCATATATAGAGTGAAAGATCTAGCAAACAAATTGTATTCACTCCACTAATATTGTACTATTTGTTTACCCGTTTAGAAGTTCCTAATTCAGCTCTCTGAGATGACCACTGAAATTCTAGCCCCTTAAGTACTTTTGAAATGAGCGGGTTGTTATAAAAAAAAAGTTTATCATTTACATGTTTGTTCTTTTCCATTCATTCAAGTTATACAAATCTTCAAAGGGAATGAGACATTTATTTATTGGCAGTTATTTGAGGGCATTGACTTGGTTTACTGGTTAGTAATTGAGGCTAGCTGAATGATGCCTTCACACATCATTTATGTTAAACTGCTTGTGTGGCCAAAATGAGGTAATAAGATATTCAATTTTCAATTAATATCTTCAAAGTTATATCCTAAGCTATTGGTACCAATAGAACTCCTGAGTAAACTGTTAGAGAATATGGCCTTAACACTCACTCTCCATGTATGGCTGGTGCCTATGGATGTATTTACACTACCACATTTTTATTTTAGGCTTTGCTTCTTTGTGCTCTGGAATGGAAGTGAAAATCTCCATGACCAATATTCATTGGATGATTTGTAACATCCTAGTTTGTCCAAGAGCAGTTGGTGGTTGACTCACTTGTGTTGGATCTCTTCCCAACTGGAGCTACTTTATGTGTCAATTAAAAAAAAAACTTCATTGATCTTCTCTTAAAAGTGACAATCATAGTTGCATTGTTGCATGGCAACTGGTTGTGTCTATAGCCACTTCGGACCAAGCACCAAAATCTCTGTGCAATTGTGTAGTTTCGCCCATAGGGTTGTCCTGAGATGCACTGGTACCTGGCCATCTACTGAGTACATAGGGCCTCTACAGATGGCCCTTTGCGCCGTCTTGGAGTCAGGGAAGGGGAGGGGCAGCCACACGCCGGGAGCCCCAACCTCACGACGAAAACGTCATCACGGCGCTTCTTAATGCGCTGCGCCAGAAGAGGCGCAGAAGAGCTGTGTGGCAGCTCTTTGGGCACCCTTTTTGCCAGCTCTGAAAGGACTGGCGTTTTGGCACTCCTTTCAGGGCCAGCAAAAGGGTGGATTGGGGCTGAGGCATGGGGCAGCCTCGGCCCCAATCCTCCACTTCCCAGGGAGGCCCAGGGCGGCCCATCTGCATTCCCCCCTTACATAGCATA